GGTCCCGACTCTTTTCGCTCAGCCGTTCCTCAATGGGCCGCAGTGGAACCCAGGCAGCCTGCAGCCTCAGCATACGGTGAGGAGCCTGGACCGGGCCCTGGAGGAGGCGGCCAACTCCGGCATCCTGAGTCTCAGCGGCAGGAAACTCCGAGACTTCCCGGGCAGCGGCTACGACCTGACGGACACCACCGAAGCAGGTGACAGGACTGGGGGAAGGGAAACTGGCTGCGGGGAGGAGGTGTGGGTGGCGGGTGGCTGCGCGGCCGCGTCGTTGCTGGTCTGGGCGGGCTCGCGGGGGCGGCGAGATTGCCAAAGTCCGAGCAGCCGGTTCTCCTGAGCCCGAGCAGCGGAGCTGGGAGCTGGGGTGGGTGCGGAAGGAGGCTGAAGGATGTGTGGGAGCAGGCTGGGGTTAGGAGTGAAACAGAATGCTGTTAAAGCGAATTTCCAGGTACCGGTGGGAGGGAGGTATTGACACCTTCTTTGGCACACTTCTTTCAACTAACCTCGATGTTCCCATCTTTCCTCTGGGCTGGGAGTGAGGAACAGACAATGCATAAAATCATAATCTCTGCATATTACTTAAAAGCGTACGAGCCTGCAAGAATGGCTTAGCCCTTTTAGGAGCATGTCAGCAATTTTGCCATGGTTCGTCTGTGTTCTTATTTTGTATATGGTTTAATCATCCTAGGATATTCTTGGTTTCTTTCATGTCATGTATGCCTTTAAAGATTGAGATTTTTAATTTTCCTAGTATTAAGAAGGTAGTGGTGGTTACATTAGTATTTGCTTCAGTAGCAAATTAAATCGTCGATCACTTACTTACATGACTGGTTGCAGGGGAAGATAATCCTGGTTTTGAGTTATGTTAAGAGTCTTCATTTTTATAGCAGGAAGAGCCAGAAATTTTAAGGGCATTTTTTGGAAAAAAAACACACTCCATTCTTTATGAAGTTGTGGATTAATTGCTTGTCATTTTAGGTAAGAAATGTGCTGTTGTAATGTTCTTCATGTACTCTGGCTTAGTCTTTGTTGTGGCTGGCATTTTTTGTTAGGAACACACTTGTCTTTCTCTTTTGCTTTGCAAACCAGTATTGCTTATTTTAGCTATTTTTTTGGTTTGATGAAAGGGTTTTTTGCTTTCCATAATCTTTAAATTTGCTATTTATGTGTTTATCTACTTTGCCAAAATAAATCATGTAAAATTATTTTAATAGGTGTAGTGTTTTTTAAAGTATATAGTAAGTAAATTCACCCATGATGAGAAGTAGTAAAATACTTTTTTTTTTCAGGACAGGACAATTTCTGTATATTTAGTTTGTAGAAATTAAAGGAAAGTATGTGTGTTGGAAGAGGATGGAGAGAGAAGGAAAACCTATAATCAAAGCTTTCCACTCAGTGATTGTCTTAGGCATTTTCCTAAGATCTATGAATGCATCATCAATACCTGGCTTTGTATTTTGGGAAGCACATTTGAGTATTTACTCTTTCACTTTGACCACATTTCCTAAACAATGTGTTCATATGCTTGTGATTCTATTGTCAAGATACTGTATTACACTTGATGTATTCTTCAAAGGCTTCAAGAAAAAGGGCTTCAAATTGCATCATTAGAGATTTTTTTTTTTTTGGTTATTGTTCTTTATAACCTACAAAGGATCCTTTTATTGGTAGGACAAAGTTAAGCATCCTTGCTTGGCATTCACGGCTTTCACTGTGTGGTTCCTGTTTATTATTGCAACCTTGTCTCTACAAACCCTCCTAAACAGAACCTTCTCTTCCAACTAGGTCAATCCCCTGTCTCTTGCATATATTTTGTGCATTTCTGTCTCATCTTTATACAAGGTTATCTGTGTGCTTGGGATTGCCTTTTTTTTTTCACTTACTTAATTTTGTTCAAACTCTAGCTTTTCCAAGAAGCTGTCTCCAGCTCCCCTTAGTCCATAACAGTCTCCTGTTTCTCTGAATTCCCATGATACTTATTGTCTTTACCACTTGGCAGTGCTGGCTTTATCTTCTTTTTGTTTCTGTCTTGCTGTTCCTAAAAAGATAGAGCCCTTAAAAGAAGAAAATAAACCATATACTTGTTTAGCCTTCTCATTCTAGATTCCTTTTATTATATTTGATATTTCTTATAAATATGAATATCATTTTATTTGGTTATAACCTTTGCTTTTAAGCCTTCAATTGTTTTTCTGAGGTAAGCTGCAAAGCAGTCCAGAACCATATTTGTTCTTGGTAAACATTCATTCATCAAAATCATTTCCTTCCTTCCTTCCTTCCTTCCTTCCTTCCTTCCTTCCTTCCTCTCTTCCTCCTTTCCTCTCCCCCCTTTTCTTTCTTTTTGTTCTGGGAGTGTGACTGGAACTCAGGGCATCATGCATACAATGCAAGCACTCTACCACTGAGCTATACTCCCAGTCCCCATCATAATGTTTATCAATGTCTGCATTAACACAGGACTTCTTGAACTAATTTCACTTTTTTTCAGTTCACTGTGTGATCCTTATGGGAACACTTCAAGATTAGATAGATTGAAAAAGATCTTGTGCTGTTCTTTCTTTCATTTAAATGATATATCTATGAGTGACTCATTTGTCATTTGTTTTTGACAAAATTCAGCAATTAACTATTTAGGGACAATATTTTTAATATATCAGTAAGCATTATATATAAATGAAAGCCAGTACACCAGAATTGAAAAATAGACTATATTTGAGGTTATACATAGACACAAACACACAATACCTGTATGCACAATATACTTTCTGTTTGATGAAAACATTTCTCTTGGTTATACTGTTACAGATACTTAAAATGACTTTCAATGGGATAATGTTTTAGAATCAAACTGAGTAGCTAGATAAATAACGAATGGTTTATAGGATTGGAACGAGATCAGAGGAAGGAAAAATGCTAAGAAGCTATTCTAATAATCTAGCTGAGTGGTGGTGAGAAAATGGGCTGAAACAATAAAATGGGGAGGTTTTAAATTTTTTTTTATTTTTCCCTACATGTATAAAAGTGGTTCCCCACCCTGGATACACATTAATATTGTAAGGGAGTTTTCTTTTAAAATACATGCTTGGATCCCACCCCAGCCCAATTAAATCAGAATCTCAGGAGCTAAGATACTTTAAAAAAATCTTTCTACCTGATTTTAATGTGCAATCAAGGTTGAGGAAACCCCAGAATGGCTCATTTTAAAAGTATGTAAGAGCTATTTGTTTTGTGAGTGAATGAGAACGTTGATAAAAGTTTAGTGATTAACCTAAAGCCAGTTGTTTAGAGGGTCAAAACCAAAACTAGGAACCAAGTGTTCAAGTTCTAGTTCAGTATTCTTTTTTAGTAGACTTGAATGAAGCTGAGCCTCATTTTTTCATCATATTGTATCTATCACATATTGTGAATAGAAATTTACTATGAACCTATAGTTTCTTTAGTTTTTATGCATATAGTTTCTTTAGTTTATATTTCATATTAAAATAGAGCTCCCTTGCAGAGTGCACACCTGTAATCCCAGCACTGAGGAGGCTGAGAATCACTAGGAATTCGAGGCCAGCCTGGACTACATAGTGAGTTCAGGGCCAAGCTAAACTACGTAGTGAGACCCTGACTTAAAAAACGAGACCCCCCCGAAAATAGTGCTCCCAAAACCTCCTGTTTTATAGGCTTTGCTATGAGGAAAAATAGAGAATAGGTAGCTGTTGTCAAAGTTTATCTTTGGTGTCTTTTTATTTCTGGTGCCTGTTCTTCACAAGCTCCCCTCACCCCATCCTACTGCCTTACTTGTTTCTCTTTTCCTCTCCAGCTTCACTTCCCTTTTTTTACTGGTCTGGAGCTCAGAGCTAAATGATTATGGCAGAGAGTAGAACAGGGGGAGTTAGCTAATTTTTTTGAAACCAGTTGTTGGTTTGTGCTCAACCTTTTGGAGTATCTGCCTTTCAGAAACTCCTTGAATAAAATTCTAACCTACAAAAGGACATATAAACAAGAATCAGAAAGTTGGCAGCCTATTTTAGGAAGGTAACTCATTATATAACCAACTCTTGCTATAATGTTTACATTGAGATGGTTCATACGTAGACTTGGCAAGACCAAGGACAGGAACTTTTTGGATGTGATAATTTGTTGATTTGAAAATGAATTCAATATACCCAAACAAATCTTTAAATTTTTCATAGTTGTGCCTTTCACTAGTACTATAAATAAGGAGATGCATTTTAGTCTACTTGGGGACGGCTTCTTTGTACGATACTCCCTATTTATTTATTTTGGTGCTGGGGATTAAACCTGGGTAATCACATGCTAGGCTCATGCTCAATCACTGAACTACATATCAGCCCACATGCTACCTTTTCATGCCCATGAACAGTACGTCTGTGAGACAGATTTAGCAATTTTTACACAAACCAGACTGTGCTGGGTATTGGATAATCACATGTTTTCTGGCAAATCAAGAGTCACCTCTAGTATTTCCTACATGTGCTGGTTCACCTCTTCAACTGTGGGACACAGGGCTTTGTCTCAAGTTGTAAAATGGAACCAGATAAACACAGAATTTGATTTGTTTACATAGATAAAGATCCTTTAGTGAATTTACTGTAATGTGCCTATGATTGTGATTTTGTGGCCTGATTCACATATCTGCTTTCTTTTATGTAATAAATGTCTTCCTGGAAAACCAATTCTGAAGCACTTTTTTCAGTTGATGCCTATTTTAATTGCCATAGATTAAATTTTAATCACTGAACCTTGTAATGATTTATGCAGGTATGAATTCTCTAGTGTAAATAATTGTTCCTTAATTTCTTTCCTTTATGGATTTCTTAAAATAAAATATTAGCTTAAATTGGAGGGTACATTCATTAAAATAATACCATTTACATAGCTCTTCATAAATTTCTAAGTACTTTTGTATATATACATTTTTCTGTTGTATCCTAATAAGTAATGCTGTGAGCCTGGCAGAGTACATAGTAATTATGCCTTGTGGTTAAGAGAGTTTAAATGATTTGCTGGTGAGAAGAGCAGAGTGTAGGTTAGAGCCTGTTTTTCAGCTCTAGCACTGTCCTAGTGCTGTTTCCCCTGTAATGCTTCTCTTTATAGCAAAGCTGTTATTAAACACTCAACCAAGAAATTATTTATTCTGAAAAATAAATGTTTATTTAACTTCATAGGTTAAAGTCATTGTTTGTGG